ACAACTACTACTACAACTACTACTACAACCCCAAGCATCATGTTAGCCCACAAACCAGTGTTTCTCAACCTTGCAACTTTAAGACGTGTGGACTTCAACTCCCAGAATTCCCCAGCCAGCCATGCTGGCTGGGGATTTCTGGGAGCTGAAGTTCACACATCTTAAAGTTGTCAAGTTTGAAAAACACTGCCATAGTTCAACAAAAATCTATCCAAAGGATCCTAAGCAAACTCAAAGACCCAACAGCCAAAGAAGACCAAACAAGTGTCATTTATGACATAAAATGCAAGGAATTGAAAATCACTGTGTGGGGCAAATAGACAGAAAATGGAGAAAAAGGCATCCATGAACATCAACTGGCAGTCAGAAGTCATGATGAAAACTCCTTCGATGTCCAACATACTGATAAGTTCAACCACAATTTCAACTGGGGAAACTGTAGACATCTTAGACCAAGCCAGATCTGATTAATTAATTAATTAAATTAAATCCAAGAGAATTGCTAGAGGCAAAGCACTCTGAGGAATCGACCATTTAAGAGACAGGTTAATATCTGTAAGCTCTATCTACAAACCATTCAAGAAAGGAACTCTACTCCCCCACACCTTGATGATGTTATGTAGCCTGGCAATGAAACATCTGCAGGAAGTGAAGCCAGCACAGAGAACATCAAGAACCCATCATTCATCCAAAGTAACAACAAGAAAACATATTGTGCATAACACACCTCTGTTGTAACAGATCAGTGTTATTATAGACCCTGGCTTAGGAAGGGAGCACACTCTACAGCAAAGTACACTTACGTATGTATTTATTCTCTTTGTTATTCACAATTTTATGTCATGCCCTTCAGCCAGAAAGGATCCCCAGAGTAATTTACATATCAGTAAAAGAAAAGAGAGTCTCTGCTCTCAGGATTATATTAAAAAAAGACATGAAACAAAAGAGACATGAAACAGGGAGGGGAAAACAATACAAGAATATTTAGGTATAATTGTTAATAATATGCAGATAAACAGCTGATGGGTTCACCTAGCTTTTTATCACACCATCTCCTACACCCTGGTGCAGCCCCAATCATGGGCAGGGGGGGGGAGGTATCAAAATCATCAACATGCAGACAGAGGGTGGCAATGCAAGCCTCACCCCTTGTAAATATGCATACAGATGCGCATATAAAACAAGGGGCAGGGCTAGCATTACAAGGCTCCATGCACCATCTTGCCAGTTTTGATCCCTCCCTTGCAGATGCCACTGGCGTGATGGAATAATAGCTGAGGACTGTTTGGGGAGAAGCAATGCCCCAAAAGCTGGATTCTTGGGAAGGCTGATGGGAGCCGTTCTTTCTCCCGCTCTGCTGCAACCTGACGAAAAGCATCAAAGGTGGTCACGCCTAGAAATGACAGAACATCTGGTATCTCAGCAGATCAGAGACCCCACACACAGTTCTACAAATGATCCAAAGCGGTCATATCTGCAGTCAACGCTAGGCAGTTTCTCTAGTTGTATAGGATTGACACTCAGATCAATAGTACAAAAGACACAATAACTAAAGGTGGATACGAAATCTGACAGAAAACAAAGATGCTAACCCATTGGTGATGGTGGGAGGCTCTGGCTAGGTTCGCACAAGTCACCAAGCTAAAATGTGGTTGGCTAGATCGTGGCTGAGCGTATGTTGTGTTAACTCATGCAATAGGGAAAATCAGTTATGGTCGGCCCATTGGCACACATACACCCTCGGTATCTTTGTAAGGACTAACTTGGCATCATGGGTGAAAAAAGATGATGGGCAATTGAGAAGCAGCTGTTCCACATTCAAGGGACTCAACCGAATCCCCTTCTGTGGGACACCTACGTGCCCAGCATTCAGCCCTGGAAGAGTTTATTGTGATCTTGCTGAAAGGCTGCTGCGTCCTTGCTTACTTGTGACTGACAGCAGCCTTCCTCACCTCGACCCTTCCAGGTGCTTTGGGCTGCCATCTCAGCCAGGGTGGGGGAATCTGGGACTTGTAGTCCCACAAACTGGGAAGCCACCAGGGTACCTGTGGCTCTAACAAAGACACAACTCCGGAAGCCCTTACCTTTCTCAGGGCCGTACTTGCTGCTCAGCAGATGCAGGCGGCCCACCGGCTTGGGGGTCTCCCCAGCAGCGTCAGACCCGTCCGTGGAATCGTCTTCTCCATCCCAGTCCAGTAACTGAGTTTGTTCCATCCTGCAATAGAGAAAGGAAATGACCTCCTGCAGAGTGGAAACCTGCCCCGCTCCGCCTTCTAGATCCGAACCGCCCTTTCCCCTTCCCTGCATTGATCCCCTCCCCGATCTTGGCGATGCCCCCCATTCCTGGTCCCCCCCGACCTTATTCGGCAGCCAACTTTTTTAGAGGCATGGCCCTTTAAGCCTTAAAGCCGCCCCTGCCCTTTTCCGATTAAACTAAGGGAGGCCGGTGAAGGGCCTCTCAGCTAAAACCAGAAACGGCGATGGGGAAAATGACCTTTCTTGCACCCCTCCTCCGAGCACCCTAAAAGCTAAACAGGGCGACCGCTCTTTCTGGGCGCGCCCCACCTCCCTCCGCAGAAAGGGTTTTCATTCGTCCACTCTGCTGTCGTTTAAAAGCCTTCCTTCTCTTGATTGGTCCATTCGAGTCCTGGAAGACGGAGAGTAAACGGTCCGGCCTCCTCTCCGCTTGTCCCAGAACCAATAGACCCCAGGGGGGAAAGATCATAGAGAGGGGAAACGTTAGGCTAGAGAGTACTATCAATGCGCCCCTGGAGGATAACCATAAAGTTGCTTTTCAAGTCTGGGCTCCATTGTCTGAGTTTTCTACAATCTGTCTCCACGCAGCGGAAGTCGATACTCTTCATAGGAAATAATATTGTTAATGTTGCTCGAGTTGTCGTGGGTTAGCTGCGACTGCCACCCTAAAAGTAATTGCTAGATCTGGGTTGCAAGAATCCGGACGACCGTGGGTGGCAGCAAAGAGATGCCAAGTGTCCCCCGTTTTTTTCAGACCAGAACTGAAAACTGTAATTTTGCAATTTTCATGCAAAAGTTCATTTTCTATTTCAGATCCTTTTGGGGGGGGGGGAGTGGACCCAATATTTTTTTTAATGAAATAATGGACCCTTTGCATTTTTGCATTTTTCCCCCCCTTATGTTGTCCACCCGTTCATGTTTCCCCTGAATATGCTACTTGAAGTTAGGTTTAGGGGCATACCCATAATTAGATTAGCTAAACCTTGTTTCTGAAGATCCCCATTTGCCTCATCATCCTCATCCTCATTAAACTGGCAGTGTTAGAGATGAAGTTATATATTTCTTCCAATGTGGAAATCCCTCTGCTCTCAGAGGAATTCATGTAATTACAGGAGTGCATCTTTTCCCATTTGCAGTGTTTCCATCTTTCCTTTCTTCCTTCAATTATATGGCCACCTATCTGAAATTCATGACTCTGGGCAGCTAACAATATTAAAAGAAAACAAAAAGCAGAAAGAATAGAAAATAACACACACACACACACACACACACACACAAAACCCAGCAGCTGGGGTAAAAACAAATTCAGCAATCACAAATTAGCATACCCAATGTATAGACTCAGCCATACTTCCTAACCCCCAGGCCCGGTGATCTCTTGAAGTTCTGTCTGCCATACAATCTTAAAGAATATAGGAGTTCACCCACAAATATAGTAAACTCCACTTTTACTTGTTTCCAGTTGTGTGGAAGACAAAGCAATATATTAATCCCTAAAGGTGTTGGCATGCTGTCAGAATAAACCAGCTAATTGTGTTTATTAAACACCGTTTTTGTTTTATAGAATAATTCAACATTGGTTAAGTTTACACAATACAAGCCATAAACCAAACCAATCATATTAGGGCATAGCATATTTTGAGCACCCAGATATTATTTTGAATTCCTGCTCAAAGTAAGGCATTTTGAAGCATAGGAGCCATGATGGAAAATATGTAAAATCCATCCTGTTGTGATTTAGACAACCACTGATGTTTTAAAATGTACCATAATGTAAAATGTGAACCCCACCCTTCTGAGTCTGGGTGAGAGGCAACAGTATTTATATATCTTTTGAACTTTTTAAAAGAAAAAAAAAAAGACCGCAAGAATTTATCTCTCATATAACAATCAAAACTGGTCTTGCTTTTATATTCATGTTATACATGCTACATTATTATCACTTTAACAATTAAGTTTGTTTACTTAATTTAAAAAAGGGAAATTAAACAGCATACTATATACAGTCCAAATTTCTAAATTGAAACTCCTGGTGGTAAAGTACTTGTTGAAGAATAAAAGGAGAGGTAATTTATTTTTCTAATCCTTATATGGAAAAGGGGTATCCATCCAATCTTGTATTCTCAGAGAGTGTTTTGAAATCATAAAACTGCATAATCTGTTCTGCTGTTTTTCTGTTAAATTTCCAAACTGCTGGCATATAAGTACAGTAAAATAATGTGATCATCCATAAATCCAATGTCTTCCAGAGCAAAATCAATATGGATAAAATAATGCCTGTTCTGAATGGAGCACATGACTTCATCATTTGAACTCAGATTGCTTTTTGTTCACTCTAACAGCTGAAATCATCAGTTTCTTCTAAAAAGACGTACTGGTGTCCAATAATCAGAAGGAATCTGGAAGCATCTTTTCCAACAAAAGCATAAGCTTTCATGAGCTTCAGCTCACTTCATCAGATGCAGTGGAATGGCTAGATTGACGTATGATTTTAAGAGATGAAGTGAGTGGTAGGGGGAAGGGAAGGGAAGGGAAGGGAAGGGAAGGGAAGGAGGAGGAGGAGGAGGAGGAGGAGGAGGAGGAGGAGGAGGAG